AGATCATGAAGTTTGTGGACCATGGGAGGGATGCAGCAACTGGAAAAGATAAGGGTGCCAGTGGCGTGACAGTGGGAGACGGAAAAGGTCAAGTCATGGGAATCTCGATGGATGATGTAAGCCTGCACATCTCACCGTTGTGAGCGCTTTAAATAGCATCTTACGGTCCCGTTTCATCTATTCAGATCGCTAGCTTTGTCATCGAGATGATCGCGGACCCGGACGAGTCCAAAACGCACAACAAGACCTTACGTATCGTTGGAGGTGCCTGGAAAGCGGGCGATTGGCCCGAGATATTCCGGAGAGCGACGGGACGGCAAGTCAAGACCACGAATTACGCTCAGAGAGATGCAGTCAAGGTATTTTGCTTACAGTTTGCGTTCAGATGCTGGGTCAAGAGGACTTACTAGTGCAAACGGATGTTGTAAACTAGGCTGGCGCTGTGTACCCTGTGCTCCTTCAGCGCGGTGACTTCTTCATCAAACCGGAGCTATGGGATAATGCCAAATGGCCTCAAGTCAAAGCGGCTGATTTGGAGCAATACACGAGGAAGCGGTTCAAGGAGGGTTCCTCTGCGTGAGTTGATGGTAAACGGTTCCGTGGCTCGTAGGATGAGTTGATACATTTCACGTCATTTTTCATGCACTATGTAGTAAAATCTAGCTTTGAAAGGTTGTATTAAAGTAGGGAGTACTGCTCATTACATGCAGTGAACTACTACGTTCTGCAGGTTGTGCGAATGTTCTGCACCAACTGCGATACCAATCACGCATGACCGACCCCGCATTGTACCAACGTATTTTCAGTGGCTTGCTTCCCCTTGAAGTCGTGATAGATCTTCCCCGTTCGTCGGCTTCTGCATATTCCCCCCACCCCGCGAGTTCGTCGTTTGATTCCTCGGGAACACATCCCGATCCCGTTTTTGTGAGTCAATGGGACACGAACAGGCATTTCAGCATTTGAATTCATTGTGTTTTTGACTGTCTTGAACATCAGCTCTTTGCCCAACGGGTGTCGTACTTACCCCTCCTCATCCCGACTCTGCGAACGCGCATCATGCAATTGGGACACGAAGCCGCACGAGCGCTTGTGGAACAACTGGATCCGTCCCAGGTCTGGTTCGAGGCGGAGAACGGCGCACCTTTGAAATGGTAAGGGGCCGAAACCCGAGTGATCATCAATACCACACCTCTTGTTTCGTGAGCAGGAGCCGTTGGTTCCTTGTGCGTACACCTTTATGATTTTTTCCTGTTCATTTGAATTATGTCATCCGCAGGCACTATCCCATCGGCCTCCTGCACGATATACACATGCTTCACAGCTCCATGACCACGAATTCCACACTCTCGCTCGCGGTCCCTTGGCGTCTCCACATGAAGTTTGAACGATATCCTGTGGATAAAATTGTGTCGCTACGGTCGCCTCTGTTGAACCCCGCACCGCCTGCGGCAGTGCCGGGCGAACTTGGTGGCCGTTCAAATCCACAGGACGGCTTCGACGAGAGAATGAAAAAGGTGGTGGCTGTGGTACAAGATGCGTATATTAACACGCTGAAACAGGTGAGGGGTCTCTCTGTTGATGAAGTCTGAAATCAGTTGTTTTCAACTCCACGTATTACGATCTCATGAAGGGTGACTTTTTACGTCACGGCTCGACCAAGCGGATAATGACTCTGGATCGAAGTGAAATGAGTCAACTATGGGCGGGCTTGGAAACGAGTGCGTCGTGTCGCTGCCTTCAACAACTGTTCCGCGTGTCTTGACGATGCACCTCACGCACCGTCAACGTTCCCTCTAACTGTTCGCAAGATGACTTCAACCTTTTTTGGCCTGTTTACAGTCGCCTCACGTCACAGTCTACTATCTCGTCCGCATCTCTTTCCTCGACATCACTAGCTCAAGCTGCTGGGGTGGCTTCGTCCGATTCTCCAGTTTCTACACCCAACCCTCCATCTGCCTCTCCCGCATCCACTGAAACACCGTCGAATACGGATGTCGCTCAATCTTCTCCAATATCTACTCGAGCCCCTTTCGTGTCCCCCAGATGGGTGCCGATTCGGGCGTATGCGAGTGACAAACCAGTTGCCCAAGACTTGGTACCGCCGTATTCAAATCTCAACGATGTACCTGAAGGTGAGCTTTGGAGCCATGCAGATCTCAGAAGATGAATTTTGAAGTCTCCCCTCGCGCCGGGTATAAATTACCAATGAACTTTGTCAAAACAGGTCACAATGAGACCACCCTGCTTAGAGCTCTCGCCATTCTCGTGCCATATCTTGTTCCAGCGCAGTCGCTTACGCAAGCGATTGGTCTTGGTCTGCGCGCTGTCATCCAAGGCGTTGAGATTCCACTCGAGACTCCAATCATTTGGTTAGGACAGAACATGACTTACGCGGACGGATTCGTGCATGTGGTGGTAGGCAAGAAGTAAAATATAAGAGCTGATGTGTTGGGCGATTATGCTGTCAATTGCCATGATGGTGGTTCATCCATGAACATCTGCAACTTGGAGCGCAACGAATCGAACGTGACCCAACATGTTCAATCCGGGCGCAAACGATGATTCCACGATGAACCTTGATAAGACACCAGCATCCCATCAAGAAATTCGCTCCGTCGCCTTTCCAGCCCCCGCTACCGGCAACACTACTCCTTCTGAACGCCAGTTACCACCACACTACCCTCTACATATTGCAGCCGCTCTACTCAACAGCCCCACAGAAACGAAACCGCCACAGCCCGATAAGATTGACAGCATTCGAATGGACTCTGTTCTCGCGAGTATGCCTCTGATCGCGCAGCCCCGGCCCGAAACTGTGAAGAGGGAACGAGCACTGGTTGACGAGGACCTGGAGGATGCAGCTGAGCCCAGTGCGAAGCGGCAGTCCCAGCGAGTTGAAGCACTACCGGATAAATCGGAACGTCTAGCGGAGAGCTCGGTCACAGCCACAGGGGTGGAGACACAGAAGGCGTGAGTGAAAGATCGATTGCTGAGCGCGGTCCTTTCATCAATTCATTTTCGTGCTGTATTGTTTTCCATTTGTTCATCCGTGGAAAAGCTCAAACGCTGGGACCGTAGAAACCTCGATGGATGCGTTTGCTCGTGACGTGGATCATGGCGGGAGTACAGGGACTCAGGTGTGCAGGTGGGAAGGGTGTAATGAATCGTTCCCGAACGTTCACAGACTCGGGGTACACGTTGAGAATGGTGTGTGCGGTTTGAAATGGTTTCGTAATTGTTGCTGTTATGTGACGACGGTTGTGGACAATCCACCCGGCTTCCACTACACCGGTCACGAACTAAGTACATTGTGGTAAGACGGAGAGTAACACGGAGAGTAAGTTTGCTTGCAAGTGGGAGAACTGACCCGATCGAGGTGGGTCATGAGTGTACCAAGCTGCGATGTGGCATTGCATCGTTGACACCTGTTCCTGTGCTTGCAACGTATATTTCCTGATGTAAGGAGTTGCACGTCGGGGACATTCCTCCTTGATTACGCACTTACGTACACATACCGGTAAGTGGTAAGACTGAACTCTCTTCAAGCCTGTTTACTCCAATTGCTCGCCGCGCACTCTTTCAAATTTGTCTCCTTGACAGGCGACAAGCCGTTTTCTTGCCCCCATTGCCCCGCTCGCTACGTGCAAAACTCCACTCTCTCAAAACACATTCAGTCAGTTCACGCACAATTAGTGAACAGCTCACCTCCTGGATTGGCGAGTGGCGCCTCCATGATTGCAACAAGTGGTGCTCGTCGAGCTCGCGTGCAAGCGGACAAAGACATGGCGTCTCGGCTGGAAAAGCTAGAAGCTGCACGATTCAGCGAAGCGAGCTTGGCAGCAAGACTAGAAGAGATCGAAGCCGCGCGTATGAGTGAAGATGGGGAGTCCGTGCTCGGTTTGAAATCTTCCAGCGGACGTACCAGTGCCACCAACCGTCCTACACCTCTTACGAGGCGGAGTGCTTCAAGTTCGCATCCTCCACAACCCATCAGCACTCTTGCATCTGCCGGGCGCGGATCAACCAGTCAAAATTCTCACCTTAATGTCAACTCCAGTGCTCCACCTGCGCGTCCGACCACAATTCCACATTCACTCTCCATCCCATCAGCCGAGCTTGCCCAACTCGGCACCACCTGGCAAGAGCGGCTTGCCGTCGCAAAACAGCGATACAAGTTGGCAAAGCGGGAGCGTGATATAATTGGGGATGAGTTGGAATACATGAGAAGAAAACTCATGCGGTTACGGACGGAAAGGGAAGTCTTGGTCGGTGAGTGTGATGTGATTCAGAAAACCCATTTCGAGACAACGGAAGATTGAGAGAATATTCGTGGATCCTCGTTGTGTCTCAGACAACATCATTTTGCTTGAAGACGCTGATCAGGATGTCGATGATTCATCTTGACTAACATGATTGTTAGAACGAGCAAGGAGCAGGCTAAGGCGTTTTCCTCGTATTGTTTACTCACGCTGCCTGTATATGCAGTGTACAGCTCCGTAATATAGTAAAACACACGAGGCAATTTTCACCTTCCACTGAGTGTGGGGATTGCGCGAGTTGGCGGAGTCTGGAGGACCCACAAATTGGGGTAAATTCTTGGTTGCGATCTACAATCCCAGAACTCAGCACCTGCGGATCACGAACACTCACAGGCGACACAAGGAACTAGGGATTTAAAACCACAATTAACAGGGTTCGGGAGAAGTATTAGTTAGGCGGTGTGGTGACGGTGCCGGGACCCGTACAAGCCTTCCATTAAAATGACGTTATACACAGACAACATGCGGGAGTGTGATTTTGAAGTAAATACGAACCTATATATGTAAGGGGTCTCAAAGTTGAAATAAATTGGAACTAGCCGCGCGGCCAGTTCACCAAAAAATCATAAATTAAAAAATTGCCACTGGCCGCGCGGTCAGTTTCATTTTTATTTTGGACTGTCCGCAAACTTTTTAATCTAATATAATGTCGTGTTGAGTTCATACGCTGACGTCACTACTGCCCTTATAGCACAGTCGTAGTGCGTCGCACTTGTAATGCGAAGGTCCTGTGTTCAATCCACAGTGGGGGCATATTTTGCACCCCTTTTCCATTCACTAGACGGTCATCTCCGGTTCGCCTTCACTGTCCGTGCGTGTGCGGGATTCGACAGGGCACGTTGGAAGTTTTTCAGAGCTGATTTTGCGAATTAATTTTGCGAATGTGTTCCTACCACAGTGGGGGCATGAACTTTTGCGCACTCAGTCCTTTGCTTTTAATTTGTACCCTGCCTGCGCATTGCGTTGTGCCTTTTGACAGGGTACATTCAAATCCTTCCCCATGGTGTACAGGTGCTTGTGGAGTCTACATATTTAGTCGCCCCCCCCCGTGGGCCCTGGGGAGAAGGGCCCGAATCCAATTCAGGCGTTTCAATCTTAAATAAACACATGTAAGAGCAGTCATGCTGTTTGGAAATGGATGGGCATTGCTTTTTTGGCTGTTCCGGCACTACACGAGTCCATTGTGCAGTTTACTCGTTCGGCAATCAGCGAGGGAATGGTGAATGGTGAATTACATTTGGACGAATAGTGTTACATTATATTTGCTTTGAGGTTGAGCGAACATTATTCAAAGATAGAAACATTGTGAAGGCGAATTTGAGACTTTGGTCTTTGGAAGGGTATTAGAACAACGCATGAACGTAACATGGATGATCATTGTGAAGACTGAAGAGGCGGCCAATGCCCCGTCTGGTCCACCACAAACGTACAGAGAGGAAGAGTTTTTTGAGTGCGTTGTTCTTGATTGCTGACGGTTGCGGTCGGTGTGCAAGAATAAGAGTCTCGCGTTTAGAACCATTTGCAGGTACGTACGCACCTCGCCGTGACACCAAATAAATTTTGCTTCACGCGAGATGTACCAACGTTCATATGGAATGAATTGACGACTCGATTCCTGATGAACCCCGTCCGCAGGCTTCATGGCGTCAGACTGCTGCTTCCAACTAGACGATGTAATTCCAAATCATACGTACATACAGAACCAAAGAACAGGCCAAGCGTGCGCTGATGAAAGCCACACACAGCCTCTCTGCTTCCTGTTTTGAGGTCCCGA